TCCATTGATCATGCCGGCCCTTCTTTCTGTTGTGCTCACTCGCTCACCCCCCCTGTTCGCGCGCCGGAGGTTTCGCTGATCATCGCGAGCGCTGCTCCTGCCCGCCAGCCGCCAGCCGAGCGGAGGAGGAGGGGGGGGGGGGGGAGGAGGAGGAGGGAGGAGGAGGAGGAGGAGGAGGAGGAGGAGGAGGAGGAGGGAGGAGGAGGAGGAGGAGGAGGAGGAGGAGGAGGAGGGGGGGGGAGGGGGGAGGAGCGCAGAGTGCAGGGGGGGTGAGGAGGAGGAGGGAGGAGGAGGGGGGCGGTGATGTGGCACTGGGCACTGGCGCGCGCGGCACGCGGAGCGCGGGGCGTCGCCGTGGTGACGGCCATGTCCGACGCAAGAGGTCATCGTATTCTCCGCCTCCCTGTTCGCCTCCTTCTCATCCTCCGCCCTTCTCCTCCTCCTCTTCCTCCTTCCTCTTCCTTATCCGCCTCCTCCTCCTGGGCCCGTTCCTCTCTGCTTCGCCTCTCTCATCTCTCATCGCTTCTCGGTGCGCAGAGCGCATGGGGGGTGGGGGTGGGGAGGGGGAGGGGGGAGGGGGAATGGGGGGCGAGGAAGGGCGAGGAGGAGGATGGGGAAGAAGGAGGGGTCAGCGTCGTCGTCGTCGTCGTCGTCGTCGTCGCCGTCGTCGTTCCAAGTTCCAAGGCTACCAGCGAGACAGAGACCTGGCATCTGGCATCGCTCGGACGTGTGCATTTCTTTCTCGGCGAACACCCTGGAGGGGCATCCTGGATCATCGAGCAGAGCAACGCGCGCGCGGAACCGAACCATGCACGGGGAATGGACGTCCGAGCGACGGCAAGGAGAGAGAGGATGACAGAGGCGATGTGCTCCGCTCTCCGCGGTTTCGGATCAGCGCAGCGCGTGCGCCCCCGCTGGGCCCGCCGGGCCCCGGGTCTGCCCTCGGCTGTGGCGGCGCCAGGCGCCGGGGGCCAGGGGCGCGATGAGGGCGGGGCGGGCGAGGAGGGGGGGGGAAGGAGGAGGGCGAAGGATAATCCGAAGTTTAGGTGGAGTCAGTGGGTAGAGCTGGACATGGAAGCAACGCGACTCCGACTCCGACGACGACTCCGACTCCGACTCCGACTCTGACTCCGACTCAGACTCAGACTCAGACTCCGACTCCGTCTCCGACTCCGACTCCGACTCCGACTCCTCCCTCCGACTCCGACTCCGACTTTTCCCTCCGATTCCGACGATGGCGACGACGTCGACGACGACGGGCCCCAAGAGGGTTCCAAGATCTCCCTCGCCCCTCACCCCTCACCATCCCTCCCCTTCAGAAAAAGTTAGCGCCTTCTCATCCCCCTAACCCCTCATCCCTTATCTCCCTCTATCCTTCTCCTTCGCCCTCCCGCGCGCGGCTCGTGGGTCGGAGGTGCCATGGCGTCCGTGCTTGCGCTGCTCCAGGCGGCGGTGATCACGGATGACGGCGAGGACGTCGAGGAGAGCGTGGTTCCTGTGGAACCACGTGCGAAGAGGGGGAGCTCCGATTCGTCAGAGGATGAGAGTTCTGAGGCTCGTGGAGGCTTGCAATAATCGTCGTCGTCGTCGTCTTCGTCGTCGTCTCGGTCAGCCAGATAACGTTTCGGGTTATTGGAGTCTTGCCTGCTGTTGCGGGGGGCCGCGCAGTTCGGCTCCACGGCGGATCCAAGTGACCGCGGAGCAACCCAAGAAGTCCCCAAGAGCCCCCAAACGGGCCCACGATGCTCCCAAGGGGGCCCCAAGAAGGGCCCCAGAGCGTCGTCGTCGTCGTCGTCGTCGTCTAGGTCAGCCATATAACGTTTCGGGTTATTGGAGTCTTGCTTGCTGCTGCGGGGGGCCTCGAAGTTTCCCGCGTGCCTCCAGGGGGGCGTCGGATCTGATCCACGGCGGATCCAAGTGGCCACGCCACGGAGCTCCCCAACAAGTCCCCCAACGCCCCCAAACGGGCCCACGATGCTCCCAAGGGGGCCCCAAGAACGGCCCCAGAGCGTCGTCGTCGTCGTGTAGGGCATAGAAGGGCCTGTGGTGTTACAGTCTTCCTGGATGGGAATGTACGTCGGCCTAGGGTCAGTAGGGCGAGGGCCTGTACGGTTAGTAGGATCTGTAGGGCTAGTAAGGTCTGTCGGGTTAGGGTTTGTAGCTGTGGTCCTACGTGTTTGTTGGTGTTGCCCTAGGCCTTCGGGCGGTGTGGGAGAGGGGCTTTGAATTCATGGTGCCCCCAGGGCTCTGGAAAGAAGAAGAAGAATCATACGAATAATACGAGGAAGAGGAAGATAAAGACGGCGTCTGAGAAAGACAAGGATGATGTCGTGGCCCCCAAAGCCAAGGTGGCCAAGTCAAAGTATTGTAACCTGGCTATATGCGAAAAGGCCGCAGTCGAGAAAGAGCGCTTCTGCCGTGCACATGTCAGTCTCGTCAAGTCTGCGTTCGAGGACGCGAAGCGTCGGGGTCCCAAGCAGCAGGCGAAGTTCCAGGGAGAGAGGAAGAAAGGTGGTGCCGCGTTTGAGTCGTCTCTGAACGCACGCGCAGCGCAGTGTCAGGAGGGGCTGGGGTCTGGGGACCTCGGTGTCAACATGCAGTCGACGCGCCTAGTAAGGGCGCGCGCCTTCATCTGGGGTACCCTTGCGCCCTTGCCTCTGAGGCCCGTCCTTGCCATTATCACTGGTCGCCCACCACCCTAAAAAACCAAACTTCGGCTTCCGGGGGTCTTGCGCCCCTTTCACCCGTCCTTAATGCACGTTTTGATTGTAGTTGACGAGCACTTGGTGCACTACATCGGGGGGTCTGGGATGCGCGCGGTCGAGGTAGAGACCGCCGAGCAAGACAGAGTTGATGCCGGGGCCGTCTCCCGACCTCTGAAGCTCGGTAGTGCAGTGGTGGGGGGCGGAGGTGAATGAGGGAAGAGTGATGGTTTGATAGTGGGCTCCCGTTCTCTCTCTCCCCCCCTCTCTCTCGCTTTCGTTTCCTCTCTCCTTGCCACTCTCTCCCTCTCTCTCTCTCTCTTCCCCTCTCTCCTTGCGTATTGCGTCCAGTCGCCGGATCATTCTTGAGTGCCGCCTCGATGCTATGCTGCGCCTGCCTTCTGGGGCATGCCCGTGGCAGGGGCTCGCAGCGCGGATCCTTCGACTGGTGCAAGTTTTACATGACCTACTCCAAGGCGAAGGTTCTGAGAGGGCGCATGGGGAGGTTCAGGGCTGAAATGCAATGGTGAAGGTTGCTGCGAGACTGTGGGCTCCGACGGAGTAGTCTGAGTGGCTGCGCATGTGAATAGTGAGGAGTGAGGAGGGGAAGAATAAGGAGGAGGAGCAGGAGGAGGAGGGGGATAATCGGTGGCGGAGGGGGGGATCGGATCGGATCGGGGCCCCTGCAAACGTGATCCACACGCGGCAATGTGTGGCTCCAGAGTTAGGAATTAGAAGCAGGAGGATTGATGGATCAAGATACTATGATGCACTTTCACAGTCCGAAGGGGAGGTGGCCCAGCGCGGCGCGAAGGGCGTCGTGAAGCACGAGCGCGCCTTCATGAAGTTCTACGAGGAAGAGCGCGGGTGCTCTCCCGACGAGGCCTTTTCGACGAGGGAGGGGCGACGCGTGAATTGTCAAATGGGCGGCTGGAGCCGAGGGGTGCCGGGGGGGAGGAGGAGGGGGGGGGGGGGGGAGGAGGAGGAGGAGGAGGGGAGGAGGAGGAGGAGGAGGGGAGGAGGAGGGGAGGATGGGGGGGTGGAGAGTGATTGGTTGGAAGGGGGGGATGTGGTCGGGAGAAGGGAGATGGACTGCTAAAGCGAGTGCGGCGGTGTTGCATGTGTGTACCGCTGGTGACATGGTGTCATTGCCTAGTCTTATATCTTCTCCCTCTCCCCCTTCCCCTCCATTTCATGTTGCCGCATCCCCCGCGATCGCCCTTTCTTTTTATGACTCCCTGCTTCCCCCCCCCCCCCGCCCCTCACTACAGTCAGAACGTGCATTGAGGGTGGGTGGTAGGGGCGCGAGACCCTTAGAGGCCGAAGCGGGGTCTCTTGGGGCGGCGGGCGACCAGTGACAACAGCAGAGGGCAGGCCGCGGGCGCAAGGGCGCAAGGGCACCCTAGGTGAAGGCGCGCGCCCTTACTAGGCGCGTTGACTGCATCACGTCCGCGCCCCCCGACTCCCTATGCCCGAGGCGAGGGGGAAGTGGGCCGCCGCCAGCGTGCGCCCACACGTGGGGAAGGACATGAAAGGCCCCGGGGGGAGCCTGCGCGTCTGGACAAACATTGGAGATTTTATTGCCTCCTCCGACGAGGGGCGCATTGCTGCGAACCTCAACATGGGAGAGAAAGAGAAGAAACACCAGAAGGAGGCCGACCTGCGTCGGTATGAGGATGAGGTCAACGCAGCTGGCGGGTCTTGGCATAGCAACCTTCTCGCTGGCGTGGCAGGGTCGTCTCGCTCGGGCCCGTCTAAGTTCGATGAGGGCGCTCCGCAGGTCGATGAGGATTCGCAGGTGGAGCAGAAGGAGGCATTAACCGAGGATGACCAGAAGACTAGCGCGCGTGGTCGGCGCTCCCGCAGTCGTTCGGCCAGGAGGTGGCAACCCGCTGCGTCGCGAGACGGTCGCCGCAGAAACGCAAAATGCACCGAGTCCTGGATGTGGATGAGGAGGGGGAGGATGAAGATGATGACGAGGAGGAGGAGGTGGAGGAGGAGGGGGATGGATGAGGGATGAGGGGGATGGGGATGAGGGCGAGGATGAGGAGGAGCCAGCCGAAAACACAGGATCCTGTCATTGCAGCCTCGGGGCAGGCCCCAGACATGTCATCCCATGTCGGGGAAGGCAGAGCTGGAAGCTGGAGGGTGAAGGGGGGGGGGGGGGGGGGGGGGGGAGTTTCGTATTGTTTTCGGGTTTCTTGATCGCGCCATGGTCGAGGTGTGAGTGCAGACCGTGGCCGTTCAAGCATCGTCGGCGCTTCCGCGCCGAAGGGGATGCGCGCCCAGACCGCCGAGGACTCAGAGGATGATGATCAGATGTCTGAGGGCGGCGTTGAGCCGAAGGTGCAGTGGGGTGACCAGGCAACGACTGCATTTGGCAAGTGGCAGCGAGGGGTCGACAGGCTAACTCCAGATTTGATGAAGCAGAGCGATCAGCTTCTGGAGTTGGTGCAGGGTGCGGTGTGCCAGCAATGGCCTCTCGCATCGGGCGTGGCCATGGCACTGAACGGTGCCATGCTCAAGTGCGTCGCGCTGGCTCGGGTCTTCTCGATTGAGACGCCACTGCCGACTCTCCGGGAATCCTGTCGAGCGTCATTCCCGATTCATCCAAGCTGGTGTTTGTGCCGTTTCGAGGTTCTGCGGCGGTTGCCCGTCCTAGATGGGGTGGTCTTGGGCGAGCGGAGGCGGATGGAGAAGGGGTTGCGATGATGCGCGTCACTCTCGCCAGGAGTTCGCGCGCTTCACGAACCCCAATGGCGCCCTCGAGTACGTGGAGAAGCGCGCGGTCGACAACGCTGTTCGAGGGGCGCCCCGTTGCGCGCTCGGAGGGGCAGTGGGGGATAGCATGCATCGCGGAAGATGATGGAGCTTGGCGTGAAGGTGCGGCGAGGGTGTTAGAGCAGGTCAGCATTCAAGCATCTCAGGATCGGTTTGGCATCATCATCATCATCAACATCATCAGCAGCAGCGTCATCAACATCATCCTCATCCTCGTCCTCGCGCTCGGACTCGGACTCGCCCTCGTCCTCGTCCTCGTCCTCCTCGATCTGAAACCGCTCGGTGCCAAGTTCGCTCTGAGACCGCTCGGTGAGTGCGACCAGTTAGCGCGTTAGAGGCAGCAGCGTGGCGCGCGGACAGGGGAGGCCGACAAGGCCTTGGTTGAGTTTGACCAGTGGTGCAGGGACCAGAAGGCAGCTACCGAGCAAGCATGATGCGTTGCGCCCGTGGTCCGAGCTCCAGTCGAGGGCCGAGATGCTCGCTGGTGCGGTCTGATGTTCCCTCCGCCCCTGACTATGCATATATATATATATAGATATATATCTGTCCCGTTCTCCATCTCGCCCCCTCCCTCCCTCCCTCCCTCCCTATCTCTCTCGCTCTGTCTACCTCTTTCTCCCCCTCTCCCCCTCTCTCCCTCTCTCCCTCTCTCTCTCTCTCACTCTCTCTCTCCCTCTCTCTCTCTCTCTCTCTCTCTCTCCCTCCCTCCCCCTCCTCCCTCCCTCCCTCCCTCCCTCCCTCCCTTTGGCTCAAGGCGTCTGGGCTCAAGGCGTCTGGCTCAAGGCGTCTGGCTCCCACAGGCGTCTAGCGTGTGGGGGGGGGGGGGGGGGGGGGGGGGGGGGGGGGGGGGGGGGTGCGTCGCCGCGGGCGGCGCGGCAGCCATCGCTGCCTTCTTCGTCTTCTTCGGGTTCAGCAAGATCGGCTCAATTTGGGTTTAATCAGTGGGATTTATCAGTGGGATATCACTTCCATTGGTGGGGTATCGACTCAATTTGGCGAATTCGCGAATTTTGTTGGGTTTTGTCAATTCGGCGCTTCATTTCCAGCTCAAATTTTGGGTAACTGGCTCGTTCTTAACACTTTCGGCCATGCCGACATTGCAGATTGGAGAAACCATGCAAAAGCTCTTATCTTTAGATATTGATAAGCAGAAAAGACTGAGAGACGATGCTCGGATGGTAGACGAAGACAAAGAAAATCAGCAAGAGGCCTCGAAGGTTATGAGAACATTGGCGGCCAAGGGATCTGCTAAGGGTACAGGTCTGGGAGAGAATGGTTCAATTTCATCAGGGGCTGCCTCGACAGCCACAGGTGCCGACGGATTTTTGGCGCAACTCGAGTCGCTTCTAGATAAAAAGATCGCTCCCATCAAGGACCGTATCGATTCGTTACAACTTGATGTATTGGGAACTCAAAAGGCGTTGGCTCAGGAATTCTCAGTAGCCGTCACTTTGATCAATGACCACGAAGTAAAGCTTGCCAACCTTGAGGCAGGTGAGACCGAGGTTCAAAAAGCCTTCAACGAAAGGATTCTGGCTGTTGAACTGGAGCAGAAGTCCCTGCGCGCGGAAATGGCAGCCAAACAACTAGAAAGCCAGTCAAGCCAGGGTCCGTCCAGGAAAAAGGGTCCGCCGTGGGCCAGCACCCCAAGAGCAGATAGAGACATCTTCATTCTCACCAACCTGGGCTGGAATCTCAAGAAGCAGGAGGCTCTGGAAAAGGCACGGGCGGTCCTTCGCCGAGCGGATGTTCCCCAGCCCACGCATATTGTTGCACCATTTGGATATGGGGGTTGTGTTGAGATCAAATGGAGTTCGGTTGCGGTGGGACTTCAAGCAGCAGCTACGATCCGTGATCTCAAGATCCCTGGGCACCTGGAACATATGATCTGGTGTGGCCAGGTTAGTACTAAGGAGGAGCGTGACCCAGCGAAATTGTTCAAGACCGTTTCAGAAGCACTGGAAAAGGCAATGGGAGATCGCACAGACAGTTACGTGGTTTGTTCTCGGACTCGAAAATTTTTCGTCTTGGACCATCAGATAGGTGCTATCAAGGATGGGGAATTCCAGTGGCACGAGTCTCTCAAGGAGATCCCTGACGAAGCGCTCCGCAAGACGCTGAAAGACACCATCGACGAGGCACTATCTCTATGAGATGCCTACGTGAGGGGTCTCGTTTGTGCACTCAATGTGCAGGGCAAGTGGGCCGACGAGACTCAAATGCAAGCCAACCTAGATTTGCTCGAGCTGAAGTGCTGGGGCTTAATTTGCATCTTAGAGGCGGATTTCAAGGGCTGTCTTCAAAACGATGGGCTACTACGCCCTGTTTTCAATGGCCACGCTTACTACCGCCATCACTCTGGCCCTGGGTGTAGGGCCATGGGCGTGCTTGTGCACAAATCTCTGAGAAAACGTGTGAAAGACATTGTCTGCGATTGGAGATCTATCCGTGTTGATCTTCGTCCCGACTGTCTCGATGGATGCCACCATCATGCCAGATCCTTTCTCTTCTCTCATCTTGCCCACGATTTTTTCCATGATTCTCTAAACTGTGCCATCCAACTCGGTCGATCCCGCCCCGTGGGGTCTACTCTCTCTTGGTTGGGGGACATGAATGCCGATCAAGGTAACGGAGATCAGAAATTCCGATCGTTCTGCGAAGCTTGTTCATATCTCGACCTCCGTTGGTGCCCTCTTAGGTTCCAGGAGACTTCCATGCAATTCACTAGGAAGCCCGATGGTGAGCAGGCGCTCTCTCAAGCCAACAGCACGATCGATCACATTGCTCTCGCCAGGAGTGATCTCTCTTTTGACTGTTTCGCATGCTGGGCGGGTGTCCCAGGGGACCATGCCCTTATTGGATGTGATGTCCTGGCCTTTCACCAGCAGGTTCGTAAGAGAAGACCTCTCTTGTGGACTCCTACAAACATTTTGGAGGTTAGGAAGATCGCCCAGGGTCTGTTTCCCGAATCAGCGGAACTTATTCGTCTAAATGACGAAGAACAGCCCGATTCATGTGCGGTCAGGTATCATGATCCAAGGGACCTCACCCTATCCTTTGATTTCTGGGAAAACATGTTGGGCCAGGTTTATGAAGCGACTCAGGCTCTCCCAAGGAGTTTTAGGAGATTTGCTGAAGAGCCATTTTGGATCAAGAGTCTCAGGACACGGTTCAACTCCGAACTTAACGAAGCCACGAGGGTCGCCTTGGGTCAGCTCCTCTTGAAAGCTCTCAAGATAACTAAACTTCAACGCGATTTGGCTCAGGTTGCGCTCAACGCCTCTCAAGGAAAACGGGTCTGGGCCTCCCGCAAGTCCCTCTTACCCATATTGGGTTTCTGTGTAGATCAAGTCAAGATTTTTGAAGTGGACCGCTGTACCACACTGGTTGCTGAAGAATACAGCGAGAGGTGGGGGCTCTCAGAATCGGAGCGGCAGGAGGACATCGCCTGGCTTCGCTCTTTGGGTTTCTTCAACTTCTACAACGACCCCATCATTCCCTCCCTGCTGGAAGACGCGCTGGACAACATCAAGGCTCCCCGAAAGATCGACACAGAGTTCGCCTGTACGGCGGTTGTAAAAGTTTCGGGATGGTCCCACAGGCTCACGGGGTGTATACAGGCCTGCTTAGGCGATCCCGAATTTTGGAATAACGTCACATTCGGGGGCCATTTGGGTAACAAGATCAAGGGTTTTGGAACCCCTTCTCAAACTAGAGTTGTCATTCCTCAGCCTGCAATTGCCAAGATTGGGCACGCATATGTGGCAAGGGCCATTCTGCCAGTTCTGGACTCATACACTGATTCTAAAGGTCTCAAAGGTCTTATTTTTGGGCTCAGCAAAGGTGGACAATTACAGGAACTTCACACCAGTGTCTATCACATTTTAGAATATGGTCGAGATCATTTTAACAAAGGAATGGTTGGGATTACTGACATCAAAGCTCACCGCGATCAGATTCGTTATGGATTAGTCCTGCGGAGTCTATTGGGACGGGGAGTCCCTCTTTTCTTAGCAGTGGGCTGCATCAGGTTGCATAGAAACCCTCGAGTTTCCATCTCCCTTTTGGACTCAAACACTGGGATTATCCAGAGAGACCGTGGGCTGATGCAGGGAGCTGGGACGGCATGCATACTGGCGCGCGTTTCCGTAGAAGATTGTTTCGCCTCCACCCTGGAGAAAATTACCCATTCTTCTTTGGGAATCTCTATCCGTTGCGAGCAGTTGGGCTTCGATTTCAGAATTGCTCTTCTCAGCTGGTCAGATAATATCTTCGTGGTGGCGTCCTCGGAACAAGACCTTGCAACGCTGACTGCACTGGTAGAGTCGGAGCTCTGGAATGAACATCGGCTCAAACTCAAAGACGATCGGGAAATCCTTCCGGCCTACCCCTACTTCTTTCAAGGATACAAGTGGTCCGACCCCTTTGGGAAAATTTGGTCTGTGGTACCGGAGGCCAAGGTGCTGGGTCCAATTCTCTCCGCCACTGGATCCTGCCACGAAGATGTCAAGCAGGGTATTTCACAGATCAACAAAGCCTTTTGGGCTAACAGTAGGTTCTTGATCAACGAGCAGATCCCCATGTCTAAACGTCTCTCAAAACTTAACTGTATGGCGGGGGGGATTATCCGCTCCAGAGGTGCTGCCTGGGTCCCTTGTAAGACGACGGCGGATTTGATTACCAAGGCTCAAAATCAATGTATCAGGATCATGTTGAAACTCAGAAGGCTCCCGGGGGAATCTCCCGAACAGTTCAGTTTACGCAGAAATCGCAAAACCAAGGGATTCAAAGAGGTCTCATGGGCTATTTTCCACTTGGATTCAGCTATTAGTTGGGTTTCACACATGCAAAGACATCCAGAAGATTTTTCGTCGAGGCTGTTTCAATATTGCAAGCACTGGGTTATTCAGAATCGCTCCTTTGACAACTTTGGTGGCAGCCGTGCCCGCTCACGCTCGCATAGGGGATGCGTTTTCAGGTATGACAAGGATGCCTGGACCACCTTATTCTCTCCTCAGG